AGTATGTAAAAACTGAGCTCAGGGACCAAAGTGCACGCTGGCATGGCCGGGCATCATGATGCTCTTGCCCTCCCTAGTGGTGCTGCCATGAAAAATCAGCTTTCCTGCCTCTCACCTGCATCTTCTGTCCAGGTGTATTCAGAGACCATGCCAGCCTGGCCCCTCTCATGCATTGGAGTATCAGGGGTCACCATGTGTGTAACCTCTCCCTGATGGATCAGGGGTGCCGTATCCAAGTCTCCACTCCCTCTCAGCAGCCCCGCCTCTTCCTCTGAACAACCGTGCAGGTCCCTAGGGATTCACACTGAATTATGGGTAATATGAATAAAAGCGAAGACCAGAGAGTCGCTCCTGTATTCTCCATAACAGGGAGAAAGGGCTCACAAATTGGCTGAACACTCTGGCCACCTACCTGGGGCCATCGCTCCAGGCTGGAAAACCCCACCTGAGGGAGCAGAGCAGCCGGGACAGCAGTGAGTTCACACAGGCAGCTCATTGTTAGGTGAGACCATGCTCCCACCCCCCCCTCACTTCCTCCACTGGAACCCGGGAACAGCAGGTGCACCGGGACTATAGGGGGGGCTCTTCAGCTGGGTGACGTAGAGTAGACTGGGGTAAATTTTTATCAGATTCAAGGACAACGAACAGGTACACAGGTAACTCTTGAAGGTGCCTGCATCCTAAACAGTAGGCTGCCCATTAAGGACAAAATCCAGCTCCAACTCTGGGAAAGCACAGGACAAAAGGTCTGGCTCTTTAACTAGTCCTGGTTTGACCCTGTTTACCAGGATTTGATATTCTAAATAAACCCTGCATACAAGCCCAAGAATTCTGAGTAAACTGTGAGCTGGGTCCGCAGGCTGGGGTGCAAAGCTTTCTGCTCTCTGAAGATCTGTCTCCCAATCCACTCAGAGCTCAGTCTGTGAGGGAGCCTTATGCAGACCATCTCAAGCTTGTGCTAACCTGGGGCCTGCTGATCAGCATGTCAACCACAAGGAACTTCCTAAGGAATTAAGGCTGTCTACTCAGGCTGCTGTTTATTACAAAATACCATAGCCTGGGAGCCTTGAACAACAGGAGGTTACAGCTCACCGTTCTGGAGGCTGGGAATTCCTAGATCAAAGTGCTGATCCATGCAGTTCCTGGTGACAACTCTCTTCCTGGCTTGCAGGCAGCTTTCTTCTTGCCGGGTTCTCACCTAGCGAAAGTACTAGCCCCCTGATCTCTTCTTACAAGGGCTCTAGTCCCATCATGAGGCCCACCCTCCGCCCATCATGACCTCATCTAAATCTAAATGCCTCCAAAGACACCACCTCTAAAGACTATTGCACTGAGGTGAGGGCTTCAACATATCATTTTGTGGGAACACAAGCTTTCAGTCTGTAACGCCCCTAGAAGACTTCTTAAAGGAGGGGTGCAATCCCAATTCATAGTCGCACACTCTCCCCAGCTCTTTCTCACAGACAGTGAACTTGGTGGACTGAGGAGAGAGCAGAGTACTTCCTTCCTGTCTTTCTTTTTCTGTGCCACTGATACCTTAGTTCCATGTCCTCTTGTTCTAAGAAAATCCACAGGTTTCAAAAATACAGCCATGTTTTCTATGTGTATCCTCAACTCTGGTAAGGATCTAGCAGCTCTCCTTTGTCTGGTTCTTGAATGTATTAACTTTTGTGGCTTTTAGCTTTTGTGACTTTTATTGAAGTGTTATATCTCTACAGGAAAGAGCACATGTCATAAAGGTGCTAAACTCACCAAACCAGCCCCCAGGTCAAAAAACAGAGCCTTACCAGCAACCATTTCCCTGACTACTAGCAGCATAGGTTGATGTTACCAGTCTTTGTTTCTTACTTACAGAAAGGAAATCATGCAGTAGATACTCTTCTGTGTCTGACTTCTCATATTCAACATTTTATTTGTTTCATATTCACTGACAGATCTAGGTTTGGTTGTTATATTTTTACTAGAGGCCCGATGCATGAAAATTCATGCAAGAGTAGGCCTTCCTTCCCCCGGCTGCCAGCATTGTTTCCCTCCGGCACCCAGGACCTGGGCTGGCTCCCCTTGGGCCACCCGCAGGCACCCGGGACCTGGGCTGGCTTCCCTCTGGCCCTGGCTTCATCAGGAAGGACAACCGGAATGACATCCAGAAGATGTCTGGTCTAATTAGCATATTACCCTTTTATTATTTTAGATAATGTTTTCTCCAAAGAATCTTTGTATTTTCCTTCCACCTTGGAAGTACCTTTTACCAGCCACATGCTTCCTCTTCTTTAACTGGCCTCTCTCTTCCTGCCTCGTCAGTGTAAGTTCGAAAATCAAAAGACCCCCAGACAACAGAGAGGTCCGAGGCAGTATTTAGTTTGGCCAAAGGCTGGTAGAAGATGCCCAGGAAGATGCTTCCTGCAGGGTCCCCGCCAAGAGGCTATAAATGCCTCCAGAATCACCTGAACGTGTTTGGCTGGTGAGTTTATTTTATTTTATTTCTTTTGCTTCCTAGGTGTGCCCGAAGCTGAAGTCACTTGGTTCAGGAACAAAAGCAAACTGGGTTCCTCTCACCATCTGCACGAGGGTTCCTTGCTACTCACAGACGTGTCCTCCTCGGATCAGGGCCTGTACTCCTGCAGGGCAGCCAATGTGCACGGAGAGCTGACTGAGAACACCCAGCTTCTGATCCTAGGTAAACACCTCCAGGCTGGCTGCCCCTGGTGAGCCCCGTTAGGGGTGACTCACTCACCCTCCACCTCTTCTTTTCTATGATCCAAATACGTACATAAAGATAAAATCAATATCCCTCCACTTCTCCCCACCTTAGGACCTTCCAATAGAAAGAATACAGACTTTGGGGCCAGGCAGACATCAGTTTAAACCCTGGCTCTACTGCTTACTCACTGTATGACCTTGGGCAAGTTACTTCACCTTGCTAAGTTTAGATGCTGGTTTTGTGTGGAGACCTGCAAAACAAGGATTGCCCTCATTGGTGGATGGGGCCAGGGATAGCAGAAGTGAAGTAGTTAGTCTTTTTTTTTTTTTAATGTATTTTTATTTCTGAGATGAGGGGGGAGAGAGAGTGACATAGAAATAACAATAATGAGAGAGAATCATTGATCAGCTGCCTCCTGAACACCCCACACTGGGGACCCAGCTCGCAACCCAGACATATGCCCTGACAGGAATTGAACCATGACCTCCTAGTTCATAGGTCGACGCTCAACCACTGAGCCATGCCAGCCAGGCTAAAGCAGTTAGTCTTAACACCTGTGTCAAGGACTTCTTTGAGAATCAGATGAAGCTAAATTACCCCCTCCAGAAAAATTTATACATGCTAAAACTTTTATGTCCTTTAAGGAAGTTCATAGTCTAGTCCACATGAAATCCACACATACACCCTCCTGTCTTAGTCCACTCCAGCCACTATAACAAAACACCACAGATGAGGAAACTTACAAACAACAGAAATGTATTTCTTAGACTTCTGAATGCTGGAAATTCAGGATTGGTGTGCCAGCATGGTCGGGGTCTGGTGAAGGCCCTCTTCTGGCTGCAGACTGCCTGATTCTTGCCATGCCCTCATCCAACAGAGGGTAGGCCAACTGTCTGGGGTCTCTTTTATAAGGACACTAATCCCCTTATGGCGTAATCACCTCCCAAAGTCCCCACTATCTAATACCATCACCTCGGAGTTGGTTTAGAATTTCACCACATGAATTTGAGGGGACACAAACATTCAGACTAGAGTACTCTCTAACATAAGAACTCCTGATTAAAGAGTCTATCACAGTTCCTGGCATAAAGTAGGTATTTAAAATGAGCCTTGGACACCACCATCCCTTGCTGTTGCCCAGTGCAGGACTCAGCATGTTGTGAGCTGCAGCCCTTGTCCCTTGAACTAGGGACTCTGTTTCTCTTCACCACGGAGTCTGGGCGTTGGTGGAATAGAATAAAAAATGCCTGCTTTACTTTTTTTTTAAAGGCAATTATTAGAGCACTTTCTCTTGGTGAGAAATGTATCATTCTAAGGGGAAAAAAAGAAAAAAAATATGATTAATTACACACTATGACTTCACCAAGGGAAAATCATTAAACGTTATACTTGTATTCACATCCCAAGTTGAGGATATACCAAAGCCCAGCATCTCCAGCCCCTGCCAACTCCGAGAGGCCCAGATGGGTTTTCGTCTCACCAGTGGCTGCATAAACCTCCAGTTATCTTAGGAAGTCAGAGAAAATCAGCTCATTGAAGGATGTCATTTGTTTTGGGTTGGGTTCCATCGTCTGAGCTGCTAGTCTGGAGCCGGGGGCCCAGCGCTTGTTGCCCCACACTGAGTTATGGTGCTTACTGTGGGTTTCTCTTCCCTAATAACCCTTCCTTATTGCCTCTGCTAACAGAGATGAAAGCCTAGGATGTGTAGCTTTGCCAATGAAGAGTGTGTATTCTGGGAGCCAGTCCTTGCAGCATTTCAGCACTAATATGGTATGACTGTGAGCATGGGGCTTGAAGAGCAGAACGGCTTCCCATTTTAATCAAACTTGATGAGAAAAAAAAATCACTATTTTAGGCTTTTATGTTTAGAGCTTTTCTTAATCAGAAGTCTTGATTTATTAATCAAAGTTTGTTAGTTTTAGAGGTAGTTTATGAACTTAGAAGTAGTGCTTCCTTTTTCATCAGCCAAAAATATGGCCTAATTTTTAAATCAGGGATTTCATGTATAAAGCTGCAGTTTCACGCCAAGTTCTGTGATTTAACCTGTAGCAAGGAGACTTGAAGTATAATGAGACAGAATATAATTCATTTATTCAGATAGTCACTGGATGATTATTCATTAAGTGCTGCCTCTAAGTTCCATGTAGGACAACTATAAGGGGTGACCCCTGAGAAGATCAAATGGACATATACCAAAAAAGAAAAATGTATTAGAAACTGTGAGGACATTAGAAGGTGTCGACATTTGGCCCAAGGAGATCTATCTGATGGGTGTTAGCAAATAAGCAAAGGCTTACTGCGTTTTAGCATTCTTAAAGAAATATTCAATTGCAATATTGTGGGAACTCCCATTTCCCTCAATATTCAATTTCATTGTTCTTGAGGGAATATTAAAAAGGATGCGAGGAAAAGAGTCTGGGTTTGAGTAAACTGCCACCATCAATTGCTAAAACCGTGGTGTTTGAGAATAGGAAGAAATCTTGGAAATGATGAGGTTCCATTTAATAGATGGGGAAACTAAGGCTCAGAAGGATTTAGTGACTTGCCCAAGTTAGTGAAAGACAGAGCCACAGCTCAAACTGAGGGTTCCTAAACCCAAACCGGATGTTTCTGAACTAGACTCTGGCACCATCATGACCTAACAAGCACCTAACAGGGTGGCAACCACATAAAGGCCCGCACTGGACCCTATTGAAATAACCATCAATTACTCCTGTTTCTCTTTCTGCTCCAGCAAGGGCTGGAGAGGAAAAGGTAGGAGTTGGCCTTGAGAGTGTGAATTGCAGGGCATCAGGAGATGCCGGAAGAGGGGGAGCGGGTGTCTGCGCTTTCGCAGGAGAACCAGGGATCACCCCGCCACTAGGTTCAGTAGCCGCTTGCCTCTGTATTTGTCCAGTGGAAATGACAAGCCACTATTTCCCATTGCTGTCACCTTGGCTCTGGTTAACGTGACCCCTGACTCCTTATCAGACTTTAAATAGCAAATGATCCCTGTCGGCTTGTGTCCTATTGAGCATGAAAAATTCACACCACAAAGCAAGTTAACTTATCGACTTCATAGATGGACCCTTTTCCTCATAGAAAAAGCCACTCATGGGCTCCTTTTAAGTAAGAATTCCTGTGGCATATCCCTATCTGTGGGGACAAGAATAAAGTGCCCCCCTCTAAGGATGTTATAAATGAAAGCTCTTTAATATAGGACTTGACATTTAGTAATTGCTGAAGAAATGTTGGCTTCTTAAGAGTGTCTTTACAATGTGGTTTAATGTACCTACATTTATAGGGACCCAGTGGCCCTGTAGTATAAAGTGGTATTAGTCAGGAGCTTCTGAAATCTACATGCCTAATTCTTGTTACTGACCTTATTGGTTCAAGTGTTGTTTGAAATTCAGACTCAATTTGATAGGCACACCTTCTCAATAGGAAAAATTATGTTAAAAGGCAACAAGAGTAAAGCCTGCCTTAAACACAGACACAATTACACGCATGCTCACCCCTCATTCCCCCCTTAATATGGCCTTCATGCTTTAACCTGTCTGATTCACCATCTGCCTTCTCACAGATCCCCCCCAAGTCCCCACGCAGTTGGAGGATATCAGAGCCTTGCTTTCAGCCACTGGACCGAACCTTCCTTCAGTGCTGATGTCTCCTCTGGGAACACAGCTGGTCCTGGACCCTGGGAATTCCGCTCTCTTTGGTGAGTCCAACCCTCTGGAACATTGGGCAGCAGTCCAGGGCTGGACAGGATTTATGGGTGGGTGACTGCTTGCAGGTGGGAAGGAGGCAGCAGTGGGGGGTGGCCAACAGGAAATCACTAAATTGCCTACAGAATCCAGACTCACCAGTGGAAACTTGGCTGACTTTCCATATGAGGTGAGCGCAGTTCTTAGTCTGGACTCTAGCTTGTCTAGATTCCAACGTGGCTCCTTTCTCAATCCTCTTGGGCTGATTCCACAGTCCAGATCCTCTATATCAGACTGACTCACCGAACGATGAGTAAGAAACAGCTCCTGTATCTCCTCTTCTTGCCAATCACACCCCAGTATTCCCCCATGACTTCCTCCCAACTAAACAACAACTCTAATCAACTTTCAAAGAGAAAGATGAAATATCAGCATCCCCCAAAAGCCATACAATTCTATTTACGCCAACCTTATATTGGTAGGACGGACACCCAACCCAGACAGATTCCTCAAACCAAGTGTTTAAATAACTTCACCAAGTACAGCTTCCCTGGCATCTGTCATTGGGACCTTCACCAAGTTAATGCCCACATGGCTGGTGCCCTCTAGTAGTAGAGCGTTGTTCAAGGATATTCAAGTCCTGGGTCCCAAATATTGGTAATGGCAACTAGAATTATTCCTTTGGCTCAAAGTTAAAAGTTTCTGAATCCTTAATCCCCATCAACCAGTAAGGACCAGGAAGCCATTGAGTTTCTAGTCATACTATTGATGATGTATTCTCAACATGGCTATGGGGTCAGATATCTTTAGGAATACAACACAGAAAGTTTACCTTTAGTTTTTATTATCATCTGAAATTAGCAAACGCTGCTCATAGCATTTGGGGAAAAGCTTCTGATTTCTCTGTTTCTGATCTGGGTAAAAATAAGACACCGATACAGGAATGAGTGGCCCTTTTCTGTTCCCCATAACTTATACAGCTTGGCATTGAGTTTTTCCACATCATTTTGATCAGAGTTCATAGAAGTTGTAAACTGCTTGTTTTCCTTGGCTTATAAATGGTAAACTTGTTCTAAATGAAGTGTGTACATTGTAAAGTTTTTTATTTTAGCCTCATCACCATGAGAAATTGTCATAACTATTCATCATAGCCCAGCCACTAGCAGAGGGTACAGCAATTGATTATTTTTAAATTCAATAACTCTTGGGTCACTCAGGTGCCATTCAGCATGCTGGAAAAGTTAACCTGCTCGTATTTTTCCATGAGAGCTTTACTTTCTCCCTTATTCTGGAATAATATTTTGTCTCATTTTAGCCATTGGGCAATAAGAATTTATTGTGCTTTATGCTGCTGCATTTCCTTGCTAGTTTATAGTGTTTTGTTACCATAGACTGGTATTTAAATCTAGCAGTTAAGAGGCACCTTAATACACTAGTTCATATCCAGACTTCTCCATTTAAATGAGACAGCAAGTCAATTACCATAAAATCCCTGAATGTAACTGCCTGGGCAAAAATGGGCCCTAGTGGTGAATGTCACTGTCTCGCCAGCACTATAGACCTAGGAGAGATCTATGTGGAGTTATGGAGATGAATTAGGGAATGATGTCAAATTTAAGGACTCTGAGAAGCAGGTCATTTGAAAAATACCAGGGCCTCACTGTGATGGTTTGGAGCTGAGCACCAAAGGATAGGTGGGACTCCAATAGGCAGAAATGAGGGAAACAGGCACTCAAAGTGAAGATGCTATAAGCGCAGAGATTAAAATGTGTGGAGTATGTATCAGGTGCCTATTCAGTAACAGTTATAAAATAGCACTGCTTTAAAACTGATACGGGCAGCCAAACTGAGATAGAAACTAGGCCATCAAAAGGAGCAGGCCTCAGCTAAAGCTTGTCCACTCAGATTTGACTTGGATCCATTCCCAAGATTTCTGATACCTTCCTCCATCTCAAACCTCCCAGCTATTGACTCATTCTGATCTCTTAATCCAGCTGCTCCCCTTTGGACCAATTCCCATCTCCTGCTCCTACTGGTGACCCTTTTAGACTAGAGTGCGTACTCTGAGTACAAGAAATAGGTCACTCCCAGCGGTGTGGCTCAGTAGTTGAACGTCGACCTATGAACGAGGAGGTCACAGTTCAATTCCCAGTGAGGGCACATGCCCAGGTTGCAGGCTCAATCCCTTTTGTGGGGCTTGAAGGAAGCAGTCCATCAATGATTCTCTCTCATCATTGATGTTTCTAACTCGCGCTCACTCTCCCTTCCTCTCTGAAATCAATAAAAATATTTTTTTAAAGAAATAAGTGAGGGAGGTGATTCTGTGTATGGTTGATGAGAACATTAAGTGGCGACAAATTGTGGAGGACCTTGATTATTAGACTAAGGAAGTATATTTACTAAGTGGGAAATGGACAGACCTTTAGAGGGTTAAGTAGGAGAATGATGTAGTAAAAGTAATATTTAAAAAATTAATCTGACATTCTATAAGGGTAATCAAGAGTAGGAAAGATTCGCCGAGACCGGCTTGGCTCAGTGGATAGAGCGTCAGCCTGCGGACTGAAAGGTCCCGGGTTCGATTCTGGTCAGAGGCATGTACCTGGGTTGCGGGCACATCCCCAGTAGGAGATGTGCAGGAGGCAGCTGATTGATGTTTCTCTCTCATTGATGTTTCTGGCTCTCTATCTCTCTCCCTTCCTCTCTGTAAAAAATCAATAAAATATATTTAAAAAAAAAAGAGTAGGAAAGATTTAATCTGGTGGTCTATTGTGAGGTCGGTAACACATATTCTAAGCAAGGCTAGAAACAGGTAGCAAAGATACTATTAATCACCCCTTCCACAGCCAAGATGTCCCTGATCAATCACGACATTCTTTTCCACTTAGTCCAGGCACTGCCTTGGAATTTATTTTAACACTAGCGGCCCAGCGTGCAAAATCGCGTGAGACCCAGAGTCCCTTCCACCACCGACACAGGGCACAAAGTCCCTCCTGCTGCCATGACGGCAGGAACCCATCAATGTACCTCCTGGTGACCAGTCGTTTGGTCATTCCGGGGTTACGGTGTTACGGCCAATGGCTTTTTACAATATAGATTTCCACCAAGTATGGTGGCAGTTGGCACACAGGGCAAATTTTGGGTTTTTTAAAGCCATATATCAGAACTAACTCTCCTCCATTAAGGCTCCCAAGAGGCGAGTCTACTCCAAAAATGGCTATTTAGTTATCAAACACTCTGGCATTGATATCCCTTCAAGCCACTGCTGCAACTTTCAAGAAGGAAAGTGGATTGAGCAACATGCGCTCAACTGGCCTCACTTTCCATAACTTTAATGAAGACCTGGGACTAGTGGGTCCCTTGTTGCTCTCACATTCTTTGTTATGTGACTTAGACATGAAAAATGCCCAGTGGAGGCTCGGCCATGCAGAGTGGACCCAACCTACCTGGATCTGTTGTCCTAGGCAAGACAGGTGCTACTTTATTTTGTCCTTGTTTTGCAGCTGTTCTTTCTGCCGAGAGGCCTAAACTGTGACAACTGTTCTGGAGGCACAGCCCATGCCCCCATCCTTAGGGGTCCAAGGCCTGGTCACAGGGCTCCATTTGTGGAACAGCAATAATTCAGGCCTCCCTACACCTTTTAGCAGACTTCTGTTAAATATTTTTAGCCACTGAGGCCCGAGGCTAACATGTCTCACATATCATTTATAGCAGTGGTCGCCAACCGGTGGTCCACAGACCACTGGTGGTCTGTGAGGTCTGAAAGGTTGACGACCACTGGTTTAAGAAAACCTTTGGAGCAGCAGTCACCAACTGGTGGTCCACAGACCACTGGTAATCCGTGAGGTCTGAAAGGTTGGCGACTGCTAATTTCTAGGATATTAGCATTGATATATTTTTGAAAAATAACTTTTTTAGAGTTTTATTACAAGAGTAGTACATGCTCATTGTAGAATAATTAAGAATAGAAGAAAATGAAAATTATAATTGCCTAGCTCAGAGATAACCAGTGCTAATATCCTTTCCTAACCATGAATATACACATGATACAAATCTTTTGTCTAAAACAAAATTATACTCTGTATACTGCTTGTAACTTGTTCTCACTGAATAGTAGATAACAATCATCTTTCCATGCCTGCAAATATTCTTCTATAGTTTTATTTTTGATGGTTGCATTGGTAGAAGGCACCATGTCTTAGTCAACCTATTGTCTAATATTGAACTTTTAGATTCTTTCTTCTAATAACTTTGGACTTCGTTCTTCTTTGACTAGCTCCTTTATGTATAAGGTTAGATGTTTTTATTTGAGATTTTTCTTATTTCTTGTCTGTGTCCCATAGATTTTTGATGTCATTATGTTTTTATTTTCATTTGTTTCAAGGCATCTTTTTATTTCTTCCTTGATTTTGATGCTAATCCATTCATTGTTTAGTAGCATATTATTTAGCCTCCACATCTTTGTATTTTTCAGTTTTCTTCTTGTAACTGATTTCTAGTTTCACACCATTGTGATCTGAGAAGATGCTTGATAGGACTTCAATCTTCCTAAAGTTACTGAGGCTTGTTTTGTGCCCTAACCTGTGGTCTGTTTGGGAAATGTTCCATGTGCACTTGAAAAGAATGTATTCTGATGCTTTTTGGGTGAAATGTGCTGAAAATATTAACTAAATGCATCTGGCTTAATGTGTCATTTAAGGCCACTGTTTCCTTGTTGATATCCTGTCTGGATGATATATCCATTGATGTCATGTGGTGTTAAAGTCCCCTACTATGTCTGTATTACTGTTTATCTCTCCTTTTGTATATTTATTTTATATATTTAGATGCTTCTATGTAGGGTCCATAAAAGTTTACAAGGGTTATATCCTCTTGTTGGATTGATCCCTTTATGTTATAAAAATGCCCTTCTTTGTCTCCTGTTACAGCCTTTCTTCTAAAGTATATTTTGTTTGATATAAGTACTGCTACCATAACATTTTTTTTCCATTTGGATGAAATATCTTTTACTATCCCT